ACTTTAAAGATTCACAGGTTGACAGACCATACAATACAGTCCAACTAAAGGAAAAGAATAAACAAGAACCCACATTTCAGACATAGTAGACCTAAAAGCTCAAGATTATGCCGACGAAAGCATGATGTCTATCCCCTTTGCACCCAGTGTTAGTCTACCATCCACTTGTGGTACATGTCTGAATTAAGTATTGCACAACAACTTTTGATTTTTTTTATTTTCACAATAACGTTGCAGAACCCAAAATAAAATAATATTTTTTTCTTTGAAAAAGTACTTCAGATCTGCATTTCAACAGTCTCCAATTTGTTTTACTGTCCTTTGAAGAGTTCGGACAACACGGAGTCACTTTTGCCCACCCCACCCCAACTTTAAGTGTTCCAGACTTCGGCATGCTTTGCATTAGTAAACCAGCCTTGTATTTTAAATCCCCAAGACATGCACCTACACAAAATTAAAGCTTAAAAATCTGAAAAAATTTAAAAATAAGAAAACAAGACAACAGGCAACCCCATCACACAGCCCTGTGACAGGGTTAAAGAGACAGATTGGGAGAAAGTAGAAAGAAGGGGCAAGAGCGAGGGTGCCCTAAACCTATCAGCGACCACCATTTAGATATTTCCAATAAAGCTAGCTTTTTTTCTTAGCTTTTAATGAGTTATACTTACAAATTATATTCTCAAGTAGCCTGCATATAAATGACAAGCAAAAAAGGAAAGTAACTTTTTTTTTTCTTTAAGTTAATGAGGTCTGCTTTGTTACCAAGAAGTGATATGGTTTGCAGCTGTATGAGCTTTGCTTTTGGTATCCTGTTTTTGTGCCCATTTGGTTTATCTAGACCAGTTTTGATAGCTACTGGTGCAATATACATGCTGTCAGAGGTAGAGTGAAACTTTTTGCCACTGAGGAGTTTGTAGCAAAATAGGAGCAAAAAAAAAAAGGAGGGGGAAGAAAAGGAGAGAGAGATCAGAGCTGGGAGGAGGAGGAGGAGGGGGGGGGCGTATCTGGAGTTACTCAGGGTGCCCTGAATTAAAAAAAATGAGACATATTGTTACTAACCCATGTTCAACACAGAAAAAAACAAGCTGTTCCATTACTGAACAGCTTACATTGATTGACAGATGACTTATAGATGTAAGTTACTGTATTTTTTGGGTTTGACCATTCCTTCCTACCCTGAATGCACAAGAGCTCCAATAGAAAGGATTATCCAGTGTCACGTACAGACAAGATTTCACTGATAAATGACATCTATTTAATAGTTCATGGGCAATGTCTCTGGGAGTTTTACAGAAGCCAATCACAGAGCAACATCACAGTTGGTTTTGGGATACCATGATATTGGAAGCGGGATTTAGCAGCACTGCAGTTAAAAGCACCATAGCAATGAATGTGGGAAGGTGCATGGTCCTAAGCAAGGTTGCCAGATGTGGCACAGAGACACTCACACATCATTTTGCTGACAGTAGCTTGTTCTTATTTATAATAAAAGATTGAAGATTGCCTTCCTGCCTTCCAGTGTCATCCAGACAGCTTCTTATTGTTACTGTGCCTGCACAGTTTATGTATTTTTGTTGGCGGTATAGTGTAATGCCCACTTACAGTTCATCCATATGCAGTCTACAATGAAACTGCTAGTAGTGTAAATTTTGCCACCGTCTCAGTGTGCTTTGTGCGGCCATGGTGTCTGATCTTGTTAGTTTTATGCTAAGGCCAGCCATTCCACAGAGATTCAGGGGGAACCAGACAGTTGCCCAAGCAAGGGCAAGAAATATAAACCCAGATCTGTGTATGACAATGTGACGTCAAAGAACACTGCAATAATATGCAAATGCATTTAGGAAAACACCACCAATGCAGCACCATAACTATGGTTCTAAGAGGATTATTGCAGCTTCATTTTAAATGCAATGCTGCTTTAGTAATGCAGATACAATTTGAAGCACCACAACTGGGAATTTTTCAGATTCTCAATAAACATACATAAAAGGACATTATATTTGGATTTGCTATGTTAATAAAGCTGTAGCAATGGTGATAAACACTATGACAAGACATAGTGGCATGATATGGAAGTATATCTGAAAGCCCTATGACATCAAACCTGGGATCAACATGACACAAATATGCTTGCTTATGGATAATTGACTAAACAGGGGTATTAAATCTTAGTTACAGTCACTAAATGCCCTTTGATTTTTATTTTATGACCTACAGTATATGACCACAAGGACTACAATGTTCAAAGAAAATAATATGTTATAAAAAAAAGTCCTGCGTTGAAGCAAGAGCTCCTGGTATACAGGAAATAAAGTAACTTGCTCACATTTTGCAGAGAAGCCATTATGCCTCATACACTCTCCTGGCCAGCACTCATTTTGTTTAGAGATCAGACTTTTTTGTGTAGCTAAATTACAGAGATCTAAGCAAAATTCAAATATCTCACTGTTTCTGGGAAAGGATCAATTAGATGGGGGGGTGGAGGGTGTTTGTTGGGATTTGGTGGTGTTTTCTACTTCACTCAAGGGTCTGTTACTATGTGTTTTAGTACAGTTATTATATGAAAGTACAAACCAGGTCACAACTTAATTTCCAGTGTGATTTACTTTTTGGCTTTGCTCTTTGGGGAAATAAAGTTTTGGCTTAAAGTCAATCTAAACCCCAACTGGACAACCCTTTGTTTCCTAAATTACTGTATATAAAAATGGCTTATATTTAATAAAATTTTGTTTTCACCTTTTTTCATTCTTTTTTGCATCTCAGTGCTGATGCATTCATTCCAGCATCATCTACACATCATTGCTTTGGACCGGCTACTTGATAGTGATAATGGCGGACCATGCCTGCTCAATGTGTGATGGCAGTGCCACTTGTACTCTATATTAGGGGTACATGTGATAGAGTGACAATGCGGGAGCATAACTGGGAAACTGTCACCCCATAACAGGAACTGCCTGAACAAGGACCTTCATGTCTTGCTCACAAGGTATTTTTTTTAATGAAAGCTGCATCCTTTTAAAATTGCAATAACATGTTAAAGCTTTTAGTGATTTAGTAAAATCTTTAGTGATTGGGTCTAGGTCTGCTTTAAGCTTGCTTTAAATATTTCCTATTTAGTTTAATATAATAATCATTATCTGTAAATTCTTGTCTGGACACTGGACAACAAAAGGGTAATTGAATTTATACTATACCTTATTTGACAAGTTTAATCATCTGATCTTTTGGAATATTAGTATTGGTACTTTCAAAAAATCATTTTGGTCCTTAAGATCAGTCTTTGGCTGACTTCCCTTTATGCAGAACACTTTATGACCTGACATTCAGCAGTTAAAGCCGTCAATCTACACCTCAGCATTTGGAAATCTAATTTGTCATTGTAAAAATTAGAAACACAATGTGTTACAGCAATACACATGCACTGCCTTTTTAACATTTAAGTGAAATTTTGTTTTTGTTTTTTTTTTTTGTAAAAAAAAAAATCTCTATTTGTGAATCTTAAATAATTCAAAAACTAGAAAAAAAATGCAAAAAAATACAAAATCCACTATGGTTTTATGCAAACAGATCGATGATGTGGTTCTCGAGTATTTAAAAAGGAGATTGCCAAAATAATGCATGCCTAGGGAATCATTATGACAGTGCAAAAATACATTTATGTACATCCCTCCTACAAAAACACTGATAGGTTAGCATTCCGTGAAGCATGCTAGTTTTAGGACATTAAAAAAATCATATAACAGAGTGAATTAGCAGCTCCGGTAGATAGCGTTAAATTTTTCTTTTTCTGAAGATGAAATAAAAAGGGCTGTTTGTAACTACTAGAGAAGTATCACTTACATATACAGTTATAAAAGCAGCATAGAAAGAGACAGTTTATCTCACCAGCTAAGAATAAAGAGATTAAATGTGGGCATGGTTAAAACTACAATGCATATTCACATTTGTCCATCACATTTACAAGAAAAAACACCATTGGGGAACCTCACAGGACAGGAGTGTTTAAAACACCGAGAGAACTACTAGGTTTTTTTTTAAGTGAAAGAGTATGGGATGGAAAAATCTTTTTTTTTTTTTTTTTTTCTTTTTTTGAAATGCGGGCTGGAGCTGAAGCCACTATGTATACATTTTTTTTAATTTGTTTTGTTGCTTTGATTAAAAAAAATATTAGAATAGACCCGATTGTCTCTGTGGAACTTTGCAAAAGTGATTAAACTTTGAAAAGTTTTATTTATTTTTGGGGCAACTGCTTGGTGTCATGATTGCCAGCTTGCTACTTAATGATACGATGAGACCGTCCCTTTTTAAAGGAAGCCTTTCCATGATGGTATTTCGCTGCTGCTGTAATCACACAACCCGCTGCATATCATCTTATGTATTGTTGACCTGGATATTATTGTACTTAAGAAGAACATCTGCGTTGCTTTCCAATCTGTTGCACATCTGCAGGTTTTTTGTAGCGGGTCTTCAGAAATCAGTCTGTTTCCCTTGGATGCCATTCTTTATCTTGTTAACTGTCTACTGCCATATCCGACTCTCATGCCCTTAAGGAGGTTTTGTCACCGTTTCCTTTCTCCTTCATCGCTAGAAAGAACAATGTAATTTTGTTTTTCATGTTAGCATTTTTCTTTTTTTGCTCTCAACAGCAGTTAGCAATCTCTTGGTTCGCTGTTTGGTAAAGCATCTGTTAATGAGGTCATCTAGTTTAAAATCCCAGCTACTGAAAAATACCAGGGAAGAGGTCAATTTTAACATTGTGTTATATTTTGTACTCTCAGTTTTCTAATGAAAAAGATATCTTTGATTTTTTAAGAAGTTATTGTGACCCGTTACTGGCCTTCACGGTTTTTTTTTTTATTACTACCTCAAGGTAAAAGTAGTTCATTGTTATTGTAGCACTGAATTAGGATAGTTCTTCTTTACATCTTTGAATATCTGAGTATGAGGACTTGGTTTCATTGAGTTTTTAAAGTTTTCAAAGAATTAAGTTTATCAGTATTTTATTTCTTTAACGGGCAGCTGTCTCTAGGGTGGATGGGTGTGCCGGGAGTAGTAGACCGTGGTGTGGCTGCTGGTGGTGTGTCGATGGGGCTTCCTGCACCACTGCTGGGCGTAACCGAGGAACTGACTGCTGGTGTCTCCCCCTGCTGTTGGGCTTGAATAGTCTGTCCACAGATGTGGTGGTGTTTCTCCCAGTCTTTGTGCTGACAAAAAGATCCACAATACCGGGCGGTGTTGCAGCCACTGCAAGTTTCGCTCGCCTTCCGTCCGCAGTTCCAGCAACTCTGAAAAATGGAAACAAGCAAATATTCTGTTAGAATATTTAATAGCCTAACTATATTCATTGCCTCAAAGAGTAACATTAAACGAACTGTAAATTACAAGCACAGGTGGAAAAAGTACGAAATGTGTTCTGAACACATGGTGAGACATTTGTGCAAATCCACCGAATTTGCCTTATTATAGTGAAATTGCAAAATGCTATGTAAACAATCTGCTCTGGTTTTTCAGCAGCAGATGACAGAAAATGCTACCAGCAAAAGCATGTTCATGTTCAAGAAGAAGAAAAAAAAAAACTTCATTGCAAGTTGTTTCTTTCAAGTGACTTAGTTTTAGGTCTACAAAATTCAGTTGATATTTTATCATCTTTCGATCATCTGCCTAACTTCACTGAAAGTTTTCAAAGAATCTATGATAAAAGTAGTTAGAAATGAAAGATGGAAAAGTATTGCTCTGCTCTTTATATAAAAATTCACTTTATTGAAAAAGGATGAATTAGAGATGGGTTCCTTTGATTCTAAGGGTCATTTCGATCGGCATATTTTAGGACTTTTTTTAGTATCACAAAATTTTGTTAAGTCTGGAGACCTAATAAGGGAATTTGAATAACAGGAATACTGCTAATTCTGAAATAAAAGACCTTTTGACTCATTTAGTACCTGTATTAGTTTAATGAGCATGTCAACCTAATAAAAACACATATAATGTATGTAAACCTGTAAACTCTAAATGCTATTTTTTTTTTTTGTGTGTGCTTTCTAATACTAATATTGGATACCTGATGATTCTGCTGATATCTTTCCCCTTGCAGCACTTTCTGTGTTGGATTAACAATAGCCATGGGCTGCAAATCCCATGATAACATTGTCAGCACACTATACTCTCAATCATATTAGGATCAACAGGATGCTGTGCCAACATATTGCATGCCTTCAGTCAGAGCAATTTCTCAGATGCTGTGGCTTCATTCAGGTTCCCCCTCCCACCACCCCGGTGAGTACAACTGAACCTGGAGACATTTTTGTCTTGCTACTGCTCCTGGAGGGTGGTAAAACATGTGTTTAGGACACTTTTTTTACTCTACTAAAGGCATTTCTTCCTCATATACTTTCCTGGTTGCCTTGTTTTGGCTTCACATATGACTGTATGTCTTTAGAGCATGGAGAATACCAATTATTTTGAGAAGCTATAGCACTGCAAAGGAGAGCATTCTCGTAGGGGTTGAGATTCTCGGCATTCCCATGAGAAGATGTAGAGATCTCACCCTTGCTTAGGTGTTAGTCTAGTATTTTTGCATTTTTATTTGAATTTTTATTTCAAGGTTTCTATTTCCCAGGGGGGTAAAAAGGTTGGGGTCTCCCAGAAAAGTGGACCTTGCTTTTTCATGCAAGGTTCACTTTATAGGTTACCAATTGCTATCTTGGGGAATCAACCATTTTTTTTAATGAACAAATCAGCATTTTAATATCAAATGTAAATTTCGACATTGCTGTACAGACATGAAATAAGCAAGTTACATTTTTAAAATGAAAGGATACTGCAAATCTTAGAAAATTCTAGACGTTTAAAAAAAACTGTAATCCAAACATGAATATAATTTGATTTCCTTAAATAGAGCATCTGTATCTGCCTATAAAACTATAGTATATTCAGACTTTGGAAAGTACTGGAAAGTTGGCCATGTGGAAATATGGGATCTGTCCAAAACATACTGGCTCCATCAGATTAAAATCATATGTGGCTCTGCTCAAAAGCATGGAATATACAGAATCAACCAGATAATTACAAATGCATGTGCAGGAATTTTTTTTTTCTAAAATTGTTCCCATCTTTAGAAAACACTTCAAAATATCCCAGAGAAGAAAAAAAACTTTCCAAACACAGAAACAGATGTTTTTTGGTAGTTAAACGTTCAGGTTGTAGACTGGATGTCTGGCATCACCTGGTTTTAATTCAATCCTTCTGGTTCCAGGTTTGCGTTGTCTAAACTTAGCTGCCTTTCGGAGATGTCAAACCTATTACTACACACTACAAATGGATTCAGGATATGTTTACTTTTACTACAGTGTAGTGTTTAAGAAGACAAAGACACAACAATGGGCCTTTCAATTCATTTACTGGCAAGACTATAGCACAGAACGTGTACTATTGCAAAAACATGTTATATTAAAATATGAGATATGTCTGATAAAAATTTCTGTTAACAAAATAAAATTATATTCAAATGTGGATTTACAAGTTGTACGTTGTATTCTAAAGTTATTAAATAATAAAGTATTTGTGTCATCTGTTATCAGTGATCAGGTCCCCTCCACACTTCCACCTTTATTGCAAGCCTGAATGATATTAGGCATGAGTTGAACAAGTATGTACAATTCACTTGATAGGGATATATATTTTACACTTGTATAGTGCATGTTTAACAAGTTCATAGCTTCACTTAGATCAGGTGAACCATAGTCAACAGAAATTACCCCAATGAGTGCCTAGAGACATAAAGAAAATCAACCATCGTAGTTTTCTGTGCCCAAATACTAATGCTAGTAATGTTCAGTGAGTAGTTTTTGTTGCCAAGCAAAAGACAAAAAACTGTTTTATACTTTTCTATAAGCGCTTATCTATAATCCTAACAATCTTAACCAAATCCTTAAGCACACATAATTAACTAAACCCAAAGCTTAAAAAATAGGTTCACCTTTTAGAAAAAAATAATAAATGAACATTTTTTTTGCAGGTGAAATTTTTTGTCTGCAGGAACCATTGCATTAGCGATCAGCAGGTCTCCTGCAGATCTTTCAGTATGTCTGCTTGCTCATAAGGGATGTACAAGCAAGCATATATAATAACAGGAAAATGGATGAACTACTTAGTTCACTGAGGACTACAAGCTGACAGCCGCTAAAGCTGTCAGGACTTGTCGTCTCTCATTCACAGATGACTGTGCATGAGTGATGCAGCTGTGTGGGTGGTGCCCCACATGGCCACTTTTTTTTTTAATTTGACAGCTAGCAAGGGGGGGGAGGAAGCTGTCAAAGCGGGGATCATGGGGGAGCAGGGGTGTAACATGTAACATGTTACGAAAGGTAAACTTATTCTTTAAACTGGAACTTTGTTTCCCAAAACCAAAATATAACCTTAACCCTAAACTTTACCCCTAAAAATACTGAAGCTACACTTACTAGTCTGGTGCCAAATGCAATGAAGACAAATACATGTTTCAGGGGATACATATAGACGCAGTTTGACTGCCTTCTATCACAAATATTTCTGTAAATGGAGGTGCAGTAGATGGATCTTCAATGTAAATGTCATCTTAAGCTAAATGCAAAAGCCACAGTAAACAGGAGATGCCCTGTGAATCTAGCTGGCCGACTTTCCAGAGAGGAAAGTAGACAGAGGACCTAGTATTTATCAGTAAGGGTTCACTCAACACTGACTTTACTGCTGGCTAAACATAGGAGAACAATAACTCTTGCCAGAGGTTAACAACAGGAAAAATTATTTCGACTAAATTAAAATTATCACATACGGTAATTAAATTGTGGTCTCTGCCCAAAAAAACAAATTGTGATCATGAGACTCGGTTTACATGTCGTCAATTTGTGAGGAGTGGAGTATTTATGTCACAGAACAAAGAACCATTTGAATGTGTACAAACACGTTCATCACTATTTGACTTGTTAACATCAAGAAGCCAAGCCAATTATGTGCCGGTCACGTCTGATTCCTGCAACGGTGTGGTTTGCTTCCATTCAACTCTTTCTGAGAAACTTTCAGATGTTGCAAATCAATTCCTTTTGTCTTTGGGAACTCATCTGCTGTGCATTAAAATGAAACTCTGGGCATCTAGTGATCCAGCTAGGGTCTTTCATCCTCATAGAAATCTGCAACAAATTAAATTCTAGCTCTATTAAGTCACAGCAACACTTTGGTGATGGAGCTGTGTGTCCGTTTATTCCTTGTACAGTTTTCCAATTGGAGTGTGTAACCTATCTTTGAATGCCTAAAATCACAAACAGATAATCTTATGTCAGAGTGCTCAGCATCTCATGACTACGCAGTATACAGTACACGTTGTAGGCAGTGCCTGATGTTTGAGAGAGACTATTAATCTGAAATGGTTTAATGATGCAATGTGCTAGCTTACTAATAACAGCTACCGTGGCTAAATCTGGTCCTAATTTTGCTTGGTTTTTTTTTACATTGATTTTTTCTGGTAATCCAAAAACATATTGGCCAAATACACAAGTAGCAAATTTCTAATATGGCGTTTTCTTGGGGTTTTTGTATGTTGTGTATGTAACGTTGTGGCAATATTAGGAATGTTTATTCTACTGGAGAAACTTTTACAAAACTTCTCTACAGGCTAGTTTCTGATGATGTCAGTAACAAAAAAGCGGGCCACCACGATAGAGGACAAGAGTTTAACAGCTCAGAAGATCAAAATTATATTCTTTATGAATGCCTTTGAAGTCAGCACTATTGACACATTCCTTAATCAACAACCTTTAAATACTGTACTCTTCAAGGGACAAGTCTTTAGTGACAATTACAAAACAAATTAGGAGTCAACATAAGGCAAGATTTTGGTCTATAGGTAACCGTAAATCTCAAATTTGCCATTTTGTGGCAGCTGTGAGCAATAAAGAGATAAAAGTACTCTTGCTGCACTCTTGCACATTGACATCTAATGTATATTGACTGAGGAATAAACAGATCCCTTTTCCTTTTATTATATAGCACAGAGTTATATTTATGTGACTAAATCTTATACAGAGTCAAAAAGGTTGAACAAGCTGTCAAGTCTGTTTAGTGCTGGCTACACAATACAATATAATGGCCAATTGCAGTGTTTTAAAACCTAATCTCACTTATGAAAACACCTACACAGAACTAGCTTTCAGAATAAAGCTACTTTATATAAAATGTAACAAAATACTTTTCTTATTAGTTTTTTAAAGTATTTTATGCATGAGATGAAAGAACAAAAATAAGCTTGCAAAAACATGCAGGTACACAAAGATGAAAGGAAGAACCAACTCATGCATAGCGAGCATGTCTATTATATACAACTAATGTGTTATGGATTGCAATAATTACAGGCAGTGTCTGCAGACAGAGAGAGGGGCATGCTCATTATCTCCTATCCTGCCTGTTTATTTTGTCAGGAAAAAAAAAATAACAGACCACCAAATTGTAGAAAACCAGGGTCAGAATAGTAATGAGGAGGTCATTCATTAAACACAGAAATGGCTTCTTTATATTGTTACTGTTGGAAAAAAAACACACAATTCCCATTTGAACAGGATTTCTTTAAATTTCTTTAAATTCTCAGAGGACCAAATGCACTAAGAATATGATGTGTGCAGTGAAATATCATAAAAATATCAAAACACACAAGCATGGGATATGGGCAAATTACACCTCTGCCTAACCACATTGTGAAATGGACAATATAAGTGAAATCTACGTTCAAATATAGTCTGCATCTCTTCCATCCATTTGATTACTTGTTGGCTTTACAAATTAGTGGCTACCTATCAACTGAATATAGGAAATACTCTAAATTACCTTCTGACACTATAATGAGCCTATGTGAGAGTAGCTTAACTGTTCACAACACAATATATTTCCTACTGGTGGAATTAAGTAATTTAATAAATGGAACTAGGTAACTGTATGCCCACACCAATTAACTCACAGCGCCCAATGATAGAGCAGCTTAGAATAGTGCAGGGCATCCACTTCATGGCTCTTGTCACTGGAAGCATGGAAGTGAGACTTAAAGCAGAATTTCTGGTGTAATATGACTTTGGGCCAGTCCCAAATGAACTATGCAAAGTAATATCAAACCAGGAATTCTGCTTTAAACATGTTTACAGGTACAGAAATTTAACTCTGCAATGAGTGTTCACTGTATCATGGAATTATGTTTTAATGCTGTCTATAGAGCCTATAGAGCAGACAATAGTAGTAATACCACCCCGTATACTATTCTGTCCTTTGAATATTAGAGTAAACAATAGTCATTTGTGAATAACGCAGCAAAAGATGCCACGCAACCCACAAATCTTCACTATACAATAATAATAAAGTCCAAAACATAAAGTCCAAAGTAGTAAGATCTTTCACCAAATTATCCATGTGTACCACCAAATTCTCCACGTGTCCCAATATCTCTGTCTACCAATATCTTCTATAACTGATCACCAGTGCTACTCATGCATTTATCTCCCATGAACAATATATGCATACCTCCAGACTAGACCCTGATGGCTAGTCAAGGGTCACGTGTGCTTGTGCCACCTTCAAGGGCTGCAAACAAGATGGCTCCTGGACAGATCAGACGTCTGAAGAGCCCATTTTATGGAAGACACCGCATTACTGTTTGTGCACTGACTTGTCATTTTACATATTGAATAAATGTATTATTGTACGAAGAGCACTACAAGTCCCTATTCTTCTTTCATAAATTAAATAATGCTTACTATGTGAGTGGAGGATCTGTGGAACAGTGGGAGCCATCTGTGGTAGAGTGAATCTGCAGCCATTCTGTTTGCAGCCCGTGAAGGGGGGACAAGGGCATGTGACCCTTGACTAGCCATCAGGGTCTAGTCTGCAGGTTAGCATATATTGTTCATGGGAGGTGTATGAATGACCTATCATGCCAAGATAATCGGCTGGAGGGGAATTGAAAACTTGGAAAGTGAAAGACATACAAAAAAAACATGGGGCTGATTTATTAAATCAATAAATTATTAGGTTTACTTGAATGTAAGTGAAAATTTACTTTGCAAAGAATACTCAATCATGTGCAAGAAAAAAACACAAAATACTTTTTTTTCCTGCATGCACATGGTTGGATGACTGAATTTAGTACGTCACCTCTTTCATGAAGATAAGTGAAAATGTACTTTGCAAAGTAAATCAACCCTTATGTGTTGATCCATTTGGCTCATAATCATTTGTTTTAACCAGTTCCCTATCGTTATATAGCCAAAGGACAGCTACAGCGCGGTTGTCTGGTTCTGGCACAACATCCATGGATGTCATTCTAGAACACGCCCCCTGCGTGCCCCCAGCAGTGCGCACCCAACGCCGCTGGTGATCGGTGTGTCCTACAGACACAGCTGATCACGGGATATGGTAAACGGCCAATCACGGAGGCCTTTACCACGTGATCAGCTGTGTCCAATGCCTCAGCAGATCACCGGGTAAATACAGTTGCCGGTTATCGGCTACACTTTCCACACGCTGTCACAGCGTGAGGAAAGTACTGCCGATAACCGGCAATTGCGAGAGAAATGATCGGCACGGATGATCAGTGCCCTGCAGTGCCGCCCACCTGTGCTCATCAGTGCCACCCACCTGTACCCATCAGTGCCACCCACCTGTGCATTGCCACCCACCTGTGCCCATCAGTGCCACATACCTGTACCCTACAGTGCCAACCAGCAGTGCCACCCACCTGTGCCCATCAGCGCCACCCACCTGTGCCCATCAGCGCCACCCACCTGTGCCCTGCAGTGCCACCCACCTGTGCCCAGCAGTGCCACCCATCAGTGCTGCCCAGCAGTGCCACCCAGCAGTGCTGCTCCTCAGTGCCGCCTATCAGTGCCAGCTCATCAGTGCCACCTATGAATGGCGCCTATCAGTGCCTCCTATCAGTGCCCATTAGTGCTACCTATCCGTGCCTCCTCATCAGTGCTTCCTATCGGTGCCTATCAGTGCAGCCTCATCCACACACATCAGTGAAGGAGAAAAATTACCTGCTTGCAAAATTTAATAATATAATAATTTTTTTTTCAAATGTTTTGCTCTTTTTTTTGTTTATAGCGAAAAAATAAAACACCCATTGGCTATAAAATACCACCAAAAGAAAGCTCCATTTGTGTGAAAAAATGATAAAAATGTCATATGGGTACAGTTTTGCATGACCACACGCAACTGTCATTCAAAGTGCAACAGCGCTGAAAGCTGAAAACTGGCCTGGGCAGGAAGGGGGTATAAGTGCCCGATAAGCAAGTGGTTAAATGCTGAATTTTATTATAACTCAAAGATGCAATTTACTATTGTAATCCTGGTTTTTAGTATTTTTTGACTTAATAATAAAACACACACGCATATATATTTTAGAAAGTTTTACCTCACTTGAGTCTTCCTGCTGATTAATAACAGACAGTGCATCCTCTGCAGCTTGCCTCTTTGCTTCTGCCACTGTTCTTTCCATTTTTGCTCGTTCTGACGTAATCATTTCATGGGCTTTTCTTTCTGCTTCAGACACTGCTTTCTGTAATTCTGCCATAGCCTGTCTTTTCACCTCGTTTACTGCTTCTTCTGTAAAAGAAATACAAGATTTCTAAAAATATGCACATGGAGACTGAGATCCAGAAGGAAGAGTGGAAAAAGAAAGAACCTTATCTTGGCTATTCATGTGTATTTAAAGGTAACAGTCAAAGCCTGTCGGCTATTTGACAGTAGTAAAGGTAATCTCACCCTTGAGGACAGTTTACAAGGATAAACTTAAAGAAAGCTAACAATGGATTAAATGTGAGTTTCTTTATATTCCGCTTTGCTGAAATGAATAGGTCCAAACTGTAATAGATACCTATTACACATTCAAATAACAAAATATATTTGTTGTTTTTATTGCAGCTATAGCCTAAACACATCTATTATAGAAACCTATAGTTTTTATTTATATATTTCCTTTATTATGTTAAGGCCTAAAAAATAAAAATATACTTATAATACAGTAAGTATAAAAAAGTGCACATTAAGATCATATTTTCACGTGTAGCAAGCAGGTGCACAAGCCTACTCTTGTTTATTCACTAAGCTGACTTACTACTATGAATAGTCTACAAAATGTGATACCTACTTTTGAGGTCTGCTTATAACAATTAGTTAAATAAGTGCTGGGCTTTTGTTATTAGAAAGTGTAGAATTCAGGAAAAACGTAATGGAAGAACTCTGTCTTACATTTTTATATTTTTAACAATAATTATGAAATATAGATAAATGATCAGTTCATCAAAAAATACTCAAAACATTTTAGATTCACTGTGCTGAATATTTTAATGAAATTCAGGTTTGCAAGTGCAATGTAAAAAAAAAAGATTATTTTAATAAATGTGGGAATTATTCATTAGATATTGCACGACTTAATTTCTTACAAGCAATCATCTTTCCGTATGGTAGTCCCAAGTATCAACCAAAAATCTATACACTTGGAAAATATTTGCAAATCCCCAACTAACCCTCCTTATTTTTAAATCATACCAATGTGAAGTACTAGGTTTTAATGGTTAAAAATTAAGCCTAGGAGCTAAAAATAAATATACTTAGATCATTCATTACAATCATTAAATGTACATAGTTTTAATTTCAAAGCACCGTTTTTTGGTGTTTTCCCTATTCTTAAAGTTATGTCAAACCTGCATATGAGTTTGACATAAATTTACTTTGATCAAACTGATTAGCATGTGGTGGATTTAGCTTTTTCCCATTTTATGCTTTTTTTTTTTTTTTACTTTTTAAAGTTATGGATTTATTTATGTGGAAATTATATTTTACAATTAATTTTTTTCCCTTTATTAATACATAAATATAATAAAATGCAATTCATCAATGCAATTATCAATAGTAAAATATTCCTGGTATTTGACTAGTTAGAAAGATCCTCCACTGAAGTCACTTAATTTTTCCTTATCTCTGCATAATTCTATTTAAAAATTTGTAAACAGAAAAACGTTTTTCCATAAATGTACGTTCACCGTACAATGGAAAATAGTACAGGTTTCAAATAATCCATTGTTCTTATTTTCTTTTTATCAGTTACAAGTTCACCTAACATAAAAGACACTCGTTATAGATATTTAATGACTGCAATGTGTCTGTAATATATTTGCTGAGTATGACAGATTTTTTTAATTTCTGATACTAATTAGAACATGACCAGGGTATTCCTTGTCGGTTTTATACATATTACACACGGAGAACAGCATCCTTTCTCGGCTGTCACCAAATTTTGTCTTTTAAGCTTGATTTTTTTTTTCTGGGATAATTATGTAAAATTCTTATTGAGCTATAGTAGCACAATACACCATGCTAACACCAATAAGACTAGGAATAACTTCAAAAAAAGATTTTACTCTGGTTTTTTTTTTTGTGCACAAAGAATAATTACTAGACTTTGTCTAAATTTAAAGAAATTTCATTATCAGTGAAAAAATCCCCTACTTGATTCATTTTATCTAACTTTCATCTCTATTGAAACCAAAATGACAATGAATAATTGAAAATTTAATAAGAAGTAATTATTAACTTGGCAAACGTTGCGCCAATTAACACTCTATTAAAACTAATTATGACATGTTTCATTCAAGTGTTTTCACCTAATTGTTTCACTCACTTAAAAAGCACCTTAATTAAATGTTCTGTTTAATTAAGAACATAGATTTCTAATAGAATCATATTACCAGATATTAAAAATTAAGAGCAAATGAATACGCTTCAGGAAGCATTCTGTAAGGAGACTCTTTGCTAACCACTCAAGAAATTAATTTTCCCACAAACCATTAGTGAAACTTCAGAACATTTCTTATTTTTACACAAATTTTAAAATATTAGACACAAAGCAGTAATAAGGGGAAACACTAAATATTTAGTCTTCAAAAGCATGACTCAAAATTGCAGTTATGTTTTTTTTTTCTGTCCTTTTGATACATCATGCCTGTGCTGAAATCCATTTTTTTTTTTTTTTTCGCAGGGAGGGGGTATTGTGGAGGAGGTGATGGTACTTAATATCACAGATGTGAACAATACAGCCTGGGCCTAATTTACTTTGAATATTCAAGGTGAATTAAAATTCTATCTAAGTGGCAATACAGGACAATAATTTTTGCTTACGATCAAAGCTACAGCTTGACTAATTGTATATGCTAATCAGGCAATTTATATTTAAATTATGCATTCCTATTCTGGTCCCACAGGCACGCACAGATCTGCTAGGAGAATTGATAGCATGTTCATAAGGTGCTTGCATATTTATTATTAAATGCAAACAAACCATGTTTACTCAAAATGAAATATACATAGAATATTGCACGGGTGATGGGATATTATTAAGACTTTCTCCCAGAATCTGTAATAAATACTGTTTTTGAGGAAATTAATAGCTTGTTGTTATTATTAAGAATATTTTAAAATATTCTTAAATGAAAAATGCATATATTTAAAAAACAATTTCCAACCCAGAATATGTTACATGAACTTTTTTTTAATCAAGTTTTTTAAGCGAACAGTTTATTTTTTAGGTGACAAGAAGGTGTTAACCTTAACAATAAAAATATATGTGAGATTTATAAATGTAAGTATAGCTAATGCATGTTTTTATTATTTAAAACCTTTACATAATTCAGTCAATGACAATCATGTATAAATTGTCATTTTACATTTCATTTAGTTCATAAACATTGTTCAATAATACCAAGTTGAAAAAGTCATACAGAGCTGAACATTAATGGATAGTTCTTTTATATTATATACTTATAACATTAAAATGTATAGACAATATAATAATAAAATATCTGTTCCAAGCAGAAAATAATAGCAAAGGTTTTTACAGAGGAACAAATTAAAACTATATATTTTGTAGGTGATTGAGGAAAGGTCTTCCTGATACAATGTCCGAATGTTATTATTATTAGTATTGTCTTGCTAATTACGCTACATAGAAGCATACATGCATTTTAAAAATGTTTTGTAGCACAATTAATTATCTTTATTACAGAATGACTGGCATATCTGAACATTATTCTTAAGCCTTGCATTTGTTTAACATGTTTATATAATATGCATAGGACACAAAGAAATTGCTGTATGCATTGAATCGTGATTATCACATCAGAAACTAAACTGCTCCCAGCTGTTAAAAGTTTATATCTATATAATCGCTGTAGCTATCTCTATCGCTGTATCTATCTCACTACCTATCTATGCGAATATAACCATTCAGACACAGTATTGCTTTGAGACTTATGGTTGCATGTTGATATCAGGATTTAATGGAAGGTAGTGCAGTAGTGAAAATCACGAATTACACTGCCTTATTGTGATAAAACCTGGTAACTATGGGGTGCGGAGAGGACCTTTGTGTAACAACATGGTGAGATGCCAAATGATTAGGTTATACTGAATAAGTTAAACTGGAAACCACCTTCAAAGTGGATCTGCAGCACACTATTTTGAGGACTAAACTACTGTACCATACAATGTCAATGGCTATGGTTTAAAACTGCAGCAACTATGGGGAACAGCAGAGTGACAAGCCCTAAACTGGTGAGCATGCTGTACAAGAGCATAGTATGCAACCATATCCAATGTAAAAAAATCCTTCTATTTGACACAAATGCTCCAAAAGCAGACCAAAACAAACTCTTGTAAATGAAGGGAATAAAACGAAGACTAAACCACTGAATGAAAACATTTTTATGTCTTGTAATTGACAAGGCTACAACAGCTGACATGAAATCACAAAGTATAAAATAGGATTAAAATTGGGAAATAATGACAAACAAGTCATAGGTTCAAAAGAAATGTGATCAGCCTATAAGCTTCAACTTAAACTTTATTCTCCAATTAACATAAGTTTTCTGACCTATTAAGAGCTCATTTCAACAATGGGGTCCCGTGTATTAAAGACTGTTTGGTAATACAGAATAATGACACAGGAAACACGAAAGATCAATACTACCTCCTGGGGATGGAGCTTTTCTACAAAGGCATTCCAAACAAACAGTATTATCATTTCAAGCAGTTATTGGAGATTATTGCAATTTTGCTGTTACTAATCAGTCTTTTTTTTTTGTTTTGGATTCCTCAAATCAGTGCATTACCAAATGCACACATCTGTCAGATACTAGGTCTGTGTTTTTAAACAATCCTTACCCGCTTTCTTCCAAATCTCCTCTGGCACATATCCAGAAGCAGGCCTATGAAGGAATTCCCGATGTGACTCTGTAGAGGAGGAAGGGGAAAAAAAAGAACATTTGTGAGTATTGCTCATTTATAAGTACTTCAGACTGACAGTAAAACCCACTCCGTTATCATGCTGCAAGTATTGTCTCCAGCACACAGAAATCTCATTGTCACAGCTGTTTCATGCCTTCTGTAGGAATGTCTGCAGTGTACACCATGACATTCTTTGACAGATCGCAAATATTCTGAAGGAAAGAATGTAAATTGATGTTTATACACTAGGCAACACTGGAAATAGCTGTGCCTGCATTTAAATTCATAAAAGCCAACGTCATGCTTGGCAATCTGAGCTTAAAGGTACGTTGACACTATTTTTGTTTATTCTCCTTTATCGTTAAAAAAAATGTACTAATGGCTCCAATAATAGCAGAAGCCTATGCAGTTTTAAAGAGTTTATATTTGTTTTTTTTTACAATTATAATGTAGGACAACCATGGAAATCCTGTTCAAAGGTACAAACAGCAGCCAACTGAATTGGCATGATGGAGGTCTCAGCTTTTGGAACTCATTTTGCAACAACTCTCTTTGGGCCAGATAGAGAAATGTACTCATCAGTAAATCTTATGGCAGTCTGTTTTATTTTGTACATGACTGAAAGGTGTAATCTAATCCAAAGAAGGAAACAGCAGGGTGGTCTTTTTCCCTTTTGTACCACTGCACTCCTTAAGTGAGATTTTGTTACGGGGAATAAAATATTGGAACTCAAGGTCTGACAAGACATTCTGCACTATATCATGTACAGTACATAATACATACTTTTTCATGTACTTGCACATACATTACTCAGCTTGTCCGACACTTCTTAAAGCCCTTTATGTGTATGTAAAGTCAAAATCTAATTTTAGTATTTGGCATCATAATTCATTTTATACAGTTTTTGATTCTGTTGCAAAGTTTCCTACGTGTAGATCTAGTCAATAACAGGACTTCCTGTTGCAGTCTAACAATGCAACAGCTGCTGCCTCGTAATTAGCAGCAGTACTGTCAGCCTGCTGCTCGTCAGGTCTATCAGATAGGCCATCCAACAGCCAACTCAAAGAGCTTGATGTACTAAAACCGGAGTATGCGAAATATGATGCAGCTCTGCATAGAAACCAATCGGCTTCCATTTTGTTTTTTTGTCAAAGCTTAATTGAATAAGCTGAAGTTAGAAACCGGTTGGCTACCATGCAGAGCTGCACAAGATTTTGCACTCTCCAGTTTTAGTAAATCAACCCCAACGAGTCCACATGGCAGGCTGACAACACTGCTAGTAATCAGAAAGCAGCAACTTATCGTTACCAAGCCGCAGCAGGAAGTCTTGTTACTGACAACCTCTATGGGTAAGAAAATTTGGAACAGATGAATGAAAAAAATGCTTAAGAAAACTGTATACATAATGCCAGACATACTGAAAAAATAGGTTTACTATTTAAAGTATAACTGAAGGCAAATGGTTTTTTTTTTTTTTTTAGTTCTTGACAGAATGGAGAAGGATTAGACCACCTGCCAGGTTTTACTGCAGTCTGTGTACCCGTTAGGGAGATTCACCCTCTCTATTTGTCATGTTTAGGGCTATCATTGAAAGTGAAAGTAAAAGAACATTCCAAATTTTGGGTAGTCCCCAGAACAGTAATAGAGAGGACAGTCTAATGTGAACACTAGATCTGGTGACAGCCAGGGATAACCTCACTTTGGAGGGATTTCCTCTCACTTCCTGTTTTGGCTATAGGACAGGAAGTGAAGGGAAATCTCCCCAATGGGATACAGATGCAAAAAAACTTCACAGGGGTTATACCCTACTCTAACCCTTAAGAGCTAGGCAGCGCTCAAGTTCTCAATATATTGGAAGTGATTGCGAGTGCAGAAGCATGTAAAAGCAGCTAGCATATAAAAGGTAAAACCTCAACACCTTAAAAAGATCCAGGTAAAAGTAATAGAGTCACATGTGATCATACAATATGGAATAAAGATGGCCGCTGGCCTTCCTCGCGGCCGTGTGCGGTGTTTTGGTGACATCACTCCGGTGGGCTCACTGACGCGTTTCGTGCACCAGCACGTTGTCAAAAGGGTGACATCAACCATCATGTGAGTCTATTACTTTTACCTGGATCTTTTTAGCCTACAAATTAATAAAACATACTACACTATTGGCACAAATTTGTTCTCTGGCTTGGTCATTACGAGCCCTATAAGGTGGAACCATCTTTGGATCTGGAGCCATTACTTGGAGCTGTTTCTGAGGGGTATGTGAGCGGAGTGGGACCCCTGTGTGTGAGCAACATCATCCTGATTGTCCACATTTGAGCCTGATGACCCCACAGCCCTCGACCAGACCTAGATGACCCTATTATAGGATATACATATAATGTGCATATTATATGTGCTTCTGGTAAGTGCATAACCTTACTGGCTCTTGGCACCTGCAATTACCAGCACGGAGCACGGATCACCCCTTTTTATGGACTGCTATATTTCTAGATTGGACTAATCACAGTTGTCACCCTAATATTTAGCATTGACGCGTTGCTATAAGACGCAACCATCACTTCACTATTTCTGCGCCCCCAGTAGCGCTCACTTTTAACATAATTTTACATTATTTTACTACTATTATTATTATTGGTTATCTTATGTTCTTTAGCGCTGCATATTTATCGCTTTTAACTCTCAAGTTCTGCAGAAAATGTTGAAGGACAGCCCACCCTTCCTGTGTATTCATGGAAACTTTAGGAACTCTTTCAATTCAGTTATCAGTAAACAGTTGCATAAGTAAGGAGGGGTGGCTCAATCTTCAGTTTTCTCAGTAGAAGTTGAGATCTGTTATTTTTGGGAAAAAGGGCTTGCATCAATACCTACACGATAAATGCAATATAAACACCAATTTTGTTAAACTGGACATGCAATATGGTATTATACAAAGGGAACGTTTTTATGTTTGATTTTCCTTTTTTTTCCCATTTCATACTGTGATTTTTTTTTAATCTTCCAAAAAACAAATAAGGGGTTTTAAAGAACGCATCAAGGCAATTGTTTTTGTATTCTTCAATGGATATAGTATTACAGGAAAATGAGAGAGTGTTTTCAGTAAGTACACATTTTGAGTTATTATTGTAATGTTTACCTGAAATTGATTTTTTATGCAATTTTCACATTTTTACCAGCTTGCTATTCGATATTTTCATGATTGCATTTCATAGTTCACAGTATTGAAGATTCTCCCTCTAGTGGTTATTTGTAAAGCAAACAAGTGTGTCTAACACTCGTTGCGGAATGAATGTCGAGATAAATTAGCTACACCTAGGTATTGTATGGTTTGCAGTCAGTCTGAACAAACTGATTAGGGCAGATTTACTAAAGGAGAAAAGACTGTTCATTTAGCTTAGAAAATGGAGTGAAGCTATGCAAATCTAAATATTCAATCATGTGCAAATAAAATAGGATTTTGCTTGCACATGATTGGATGACAGCATTAAAGATTAACTCCAAAAGGCAGCTAAATAGACAAAGAATTTGTAGCAAGACTGCTTGGTCAAGATCGCTGGGTCAAAACCCAGACTGCCGATTGGAAGATGAAGGATCGGCAGCAAACAAATGATTCATCACTCTTCTTTCTCCTCCTCTCAGCTTTTGCACTGTTATGCCTCATGCACACTGGATGCTTTGGCCATTTCTCCTAGATGCCCTTCCTACTGCAAGTGGAGTTTTGGCAGAAAAAAATGCTTAACGCTTGTAAACGTGTGTCATGTGTTTAGGTGTGTCAAGAGCTTGGGTGTTAATTCATTTCACTTCCATTATTCTGGCCACTGAAATTAATTAATGCTCAAGAACTAAATGTGCCTAGCGTTAATGCACATTTAGATACGTGAAGTAGTTTTTCTGGCAAAAACGCCACTGCTCCTGGACACACTGGCAGTGTTTTTTTTTTTGCCTCTTAACCTCCCTGGCGGTATTCCCGAGTTTAGCTCGGGGTTAACTTTCAGTACCAAAAGCGGTAACCCTGAGCTACACTCGGGATTACCCTGCAGCGTTGCTCAGGGATTCCCTCCAGCACTTACCTTGTCCTTCGCTCCCGCGATGTCCCCCCTGCAGGGTCCCCGGCCATCTCCTCCGGCTGATGCCGGCATCTGTCTTCCGGGTTCCATTCCCTGCGAGCGTCGGGACGTACGGGGACTGAACCGGCAGGAAATTTAAAAATGTTAAAAAGTGACATTCACTAAATACACTAAAATCACACAGTATAACATTACTGTATCAAAGCATTTCACATACATTTAGTCCCTAGTGCTTTGTCCTGTGCCCTGCCTGCATTTTTACTGTTCTTTCTGCCTTGAAACTGAGAAATGTCCATGGCAATCAAAAAGCGTCCCTTTAGGTCAAAAGCGGTTTTAGACCAGCTAGAGAACAGCGATAGTAAATTAGAACTACTTGCAGAATTGAGTGATAATGATTTGTGGGGAAATTCGTCATCAGACACTGAAAACGATTTTGCAACTAAGCTCAGTTATGTGTGAACTTGAATTAAATTTATTATTATTATATTATTTTTTTATGATTATTTATTATATTATAATTTATAATTTCGTGTTTTAAATTTTACCATACCCGGGATGTTTACTAGACTCTTGTTTGGACAGATTTCAGTGAGTTATTCCTAAAAATTACAGGCCTACAATAAAAAAATGACATGTTTCCATGCAAAAAAATGTACCGCTTTGAGCACAGAAATATTGACATAATCAGACCGCTAGGGAGGTTAACACCTACATGTGCATGGACGCATAGGCTAACATGCAGGGGAATTTAAAGGCAGAAAAAAAAAATGCCAGATGCCCCTAAGAGCAGCCTTAAAAACATCCAGTGTGCATGAGGCCTTAGCACATGTGCACTTCAGCAGAGTCTGACTGGTTCTAGGTGCTGACACTCCCTCTCTAAAGTCTGAGTGATGCTGTACAGGGAACTGCAGAAGGCTACTATCAACACAAATCCAGTTATGTAAA